AGATCAGGAAGGTATTGTGTATATCAGAGGGGAGCGAGCCGTGGCAATAAGGATAAGGAGAATATCTGGGGAAAAAATAGATAAGGAGAAGAGTGGCCAGCAAGAAATGACGAATCACATTCCTTTAAAGGATTACCTAAAAATATGACTAAGAACTCAGCAATTTTAATCACGAAGGGATACCAGCAACCAGCCCCTTTTTAGAAAATGGAACAAGTTGACTAATTGCAAGGTATCAATGAGAAAAGAACATATCCAAAGGAGTTTACATATGTTATTGGTGATACCTTGAGAAGAATTAGGGTTTATTGACTAAAGAAGACGCAAAAATGTCAAAAATAAAATTTTTGAAGGTGTTAAGGAAATGAGGAATTAAAAGGAACGATACTATTTGGCTGTAATCATCCGTCGTAAGAGGCATGAAGGAGGCCAAATGAATCAGATAACATGATAATAAATGAAAAGAAAGAGTATGTGCAAGATGAAGATAAAATAGATGTAGATAATAGCAGTAAGCCATTCAAGATAAAGAGTTAAAGAAAAAAATAAGGGGATTCAATGATTAGAGTGGACAATTAAGATGGTAAAATGAAATGAAGGAAGGTGAAAATTAAAAAATATAAAATAAAAGGATAGAAGTGGCAGATATATAGGAAAGAAAATAAAAATGAAATGAAAAAGTAGTAAATAAAATCAAAATCTGTAAATAGCTAGTAAAGATCGAAGGGATACGTGAAACATTTACCCCTGCTATTAAATTTTCACAAGAAAACTGCTAACTCTCCATTGGGATGGACAACTCGACGTTTAAACACGTGTGAGTCAACCAGGAGATACAAATACTTCTTAAAAAACAGGATAGAGAGAGGCATTTACAATCAACGGGTCAAGAACGGATAATGAAGCGAAGTTTTCGTCTTTTCTATGGAGAGATGATCGAGACTTGTCCTGCTGAGACATCACGTAGACCGGGCCTTGGTTGATTCCATCATCATCGACCACAAGGAACCACTGACCTTCAGATAAACTACGGCATAAAACGCGGTCGCGCGGGTCACCCCAGCCACCGTTGTGCGTCCTACCACTTAGGTTTTGCCGCAGCATACGGAAAGTTTTCGAGAGGAATGTGATGCCGTCGATTTTAGTTGGGTATAAATGACGAAAGGAATCAGTGGCAGCTAGTCGACTCAAGATTTCCCTCGCCCGAAGGATGGGGCTACATATGTTTTCCTTGTGGTGCATGCCACTAAATAGGAGAGTGAATGAATCGGTTGAAGGGAATAAATAGTATGCAGATTAGTGTTCAGACAACTTTGAGCTCGTGGAAGCAATCGAAAAGCCAAATTCAATTGTAAAATGAATTTTACGATTATTTAAGCTTCCTTACGGTCTCGGACCTAAATCCGTAATACAATTCAAGATTACTTTATAGTAAGAATGCCATCTAAACTCACTAAGAAGAGTGAAAATTAGAATTTAGTGTATGGCAAAAACCCCGACTTTTGAGCTATTCAATATGAAAAGTAGCGAAGGCTTTGCAAAAATTCTTTTTTCCCCAAATGGATAATACGGACTATAGTCTAGCATTAGTACTCAAACGGGATTCAAAAAATAATTATTATGTGGATCAGACAGAAGCGTATGGCAAGTTTGCTAGGCTGTGAAAGTAATTGCTAGTTTAGAGAGAAAAACAACTTTCATCTTACTTGATGGAGCGATAAAGTCCAAATTTGTCACTAAAAATAATGGTACTACTAGTAGTATTTGTAAAATAAAGGTAAATCAGTATCAGCAATGTCCACTTGAAAGTGTCAAAATACAAATTACGGTTAAGTTAGAACACCACTCACCAATCGCCGATATGAATGACTCGACTACCGGAAGCCAAACCGATCGAGAGGATTGGGTGCGGCAAACATTTATGACTGATGTAATATAGGCTCCAGTCCCAATTGTAGTCATCGTAGTTACAGAAAAACTGAATAAAAAAGATGACAATTTTTTTAATTATGGGTTTAATTTAATAAGTAATACAACATACCAGAATATCAGCAAGTATGGATTAAAACTCATTTTAAATCCTTGGATTCCTTCTCGAAATATAATCACAAACAACGTGAGCATTGATTCAAGAAAAAAAAGATAAAGTCATAGTCCTAACAATTATATTTATGAATTTTTTTGTAAATGCTGCCTGTGTTAGCATATAAAACGGTTGTTTGGGATCTACATTTGCAGATTTTTAAATTGGAATAAGATTCTATAGAGTCATCTAAGTAGTAATGCATTTCAAGAATTAGCTAGAAAAATATATATAACATTTCACTCATCATCAGATGTGCCTTATGCAATTAATATGAAATTTTGTATATGCTTTGCCCCATACTTAGCTACACTACAATAAGAATAAGAGTTCCCTTATGCCAGCAGACTAATTTCAGAAAAAAATAGCAAAAGATTCTGGAAGCCAGTACTTGCATTGCATCCCAAAAGGCTTTTGCCTTCTATGGCCCATTCAGCTTCCCCACAATAAATTGGCTTATAGATCGAGGACTTACCAATAGCAACTTATAAAAATATGAATAGTTTAAAGTCTGGATAGAGCCGTTTCCCTCATGAATTAACAATGTGATAAAAAACAGTAACAACATACAACATAGTATAAGCAGATTAAGTATAGTGACTCAGTACCAAAACCTCGGTGAGAAACGCACCTAGTCCGGAGTCCATATTATGCATGATAATTACCACAGTCGGACCGTGGACGTTGTACATTCTCAGGCATTGTAGTCGGCATCGCCAGTAAGCCTTGTAGGTCTTAGCACCACACCACAACTCGTCAGAGACAAGTAAAGCCGATTATTTGACCAATTGTCTGCTAAACAATTGTGTTATCTCTCCTTCCGCATCGAGCTAATCACCAAACCTATATCCTCGTATCACACCTTCACTATCCAAATTTTTACTTGCTTATTTAAATGTAGTATGGTGTGCCTTTTGAGAGGCTTTCATGAGAACTCTCAAAACACTATGCTTGCTTTCTCACACCCTCCCTCTTGCCCCGTAGGATGCGCCTCCCACCTTCTTGGTTCAGGCATTTCATTTGACCTCTGCCACCCTATATGTACTACTCGAAGCGTTTTTGCCCGCAATGTTACAAGCCTTTGATGGCACGCTTACCCCCGCCTTGCCAAGTAGGCTCCTAAAAATCAGGATTCTCAAGATGGATGGAAGACTAACATGAGGCTAAAGAGGCTGCATAACTCTCATGGTCACGCTTCGAGTAGTACAGATAGGATGGCATAGGTCAAGTGAAGTACCTGAACCATGAAGTTAGAAACGAAACCTACGAGGCAAGAGGGAGACTCTGATAAGACCTATCAAAAGAGGTTTGCGAGGTGAGTGGGTGAGAAAGCCAGCATGGAGTGTTGAGAGTTCTCATGAAATCCGCTCCAAAAGGCACACAATACCACATTTAAATAAGCAATTAATAAATTGCGATAGTGAAGGTGTTATACGAGGATAAAAAAATAGTGAATAGCCCAGGGCAGAAGGAGAGATACCACAATTGTTTAGCAAACAATAAGTCAAAGGATCGACTTCAGTTGTCTCTATGACGAGTTAGAGTGATGCTAAGGCCTACAAGGATCACTGACTATGCCGACTACGATGCCGGCAAAACGTCTGAGAATGTACCATATCCACGGTCCGACTTTGGAAATTATCATGCATACAATGGACTCCGGACTAGGTGTGTTCCTCTAGGTCTTCCTATCAATATGACCAAGTTGCTAAAAACAAGGCCAAACAACTCCTAAGGAGTGTCAAGGCTCCAAAGACCTGAGAAACTTCGATACTAAGATCAACTTCCATTGAGAGGGGTCTAATCAACCAAATGCGAGGTGTATTGTTATAGGAGGGGGGGGGGTCCTACTTTACACGGTGTATTTAACGGCTAATCTAAAGTGAAACCCTCTCTGAGTAGGTAAACCAGTGGGTCCTACTCTAGCAGAAAATTTTAATGTTAGAAAATAATGAGACTCACTCGTATGCAAGGCTTGATTTTTTCCCACTCCGACCTGGAGAACGCCATTCCAATGTTGTGTCTGGATGCCAACCAAAGTACACGGTTGATCTAAATATTCGTGCGCATGAGATGAAATACGTATGTAGACAAATGTGACACGAAAAGTGATATGATAAAAACATACAATTAAAAAAGGAAGTTTAAAAGAACAGGGGCAAACATAATAGTTGGAGTCTGTCCAAAACTAAAATAATAGGACATTTAATAATCAGATTCTCCACCGTTCAATATCTCCGTTAGAGATACAAGCCCATAAATAGATGGGCAATATTTTAGTAGCAAACATATCTCGAAGAAAAGCAAATGAGACATTTAGGCTCTGGGTGAGTTTAAAGGAAATAAAACACAAACTACTCGATTCTAAGTAGCAATAGGGGTTGGGAAGTGAAAGAAGAATAGTTTTGTGTCCCTTGCATATGCCACCATAATAACTTGTTCTAAATATAACGTAAAATAGATAGGGGCTACTTGGTAATAAATAGGTTATATAAAGTAGACCCGAATACCAACAATTAGGCTCTATGATGTGGGGGTAAATGTGGATCAAATAGAAGAGTTTACTGTGAAGAAATGTACGGAAAAATGTAAAACAGTCACTATCTCATTATCGCGAATTAGTCGGAGCGTCATGGAGACCTTATGAAA